ATGAGATTAAGCTGGTATTAATCTCATAAAGCAGGTTCTTACATATTACATGAATTTGTAGCTTTTAAATTTACTTAACAAATGTTAGTGCAAATTAGTTAGAGGATTTTTTCAAGTACATCTTACAAGTTATTTTTTTTCAGTGTAGGGCCCAATTTGCTCCCATAGACTCTCATTATAACCACACATTTTTGATGCACCGTAATCCTGACATAATAGGAAAGCAGGTTTTAGGTGGGATGACACACAAACACACACCACAACCCCCAAGGGGTGTTCAGCATTGGGTGAGCCTTCTTGGTCTTCAGAGCTGCTTCAGAAAATTTGCTGTGGTCCTGCAGGAACCTGTCTGCCTGCAGCACCGTAGCACTGATCAGATACTTTGTGAATGGCTCAAGATGGTGTCACAAACCTAAAAACATGAATGCACAAGTTTAATTCAATATGGAGGAGGCTACAAGTGAGACAGGATCAATCAATCCTCTGATTGTTCACYCCACTTCTCTGCATTGTTGTTGCCTACTACAACTGTATACAAGTGTTCTTTCAATTTAAGACTGCCTCCCTGTCTGGAGGGTTGTTTATGCAGCTCGAAGTACAAAAATGTTATACTCATAATGAGTCAGTGGTGCAGCCCAGTCTGCAGTGAGATGCATAGAGATATGGTTGGCCTCACAGCGTATATTTACGCCTGATTTGACCCATAATTTGCGTGCTGCAGCATTTTTTTACGTGCAAACGGGTTGTGAATCATAACGCGCGGTGGCGTTTTCTGCACATTATATTACGGAAAGCCTAAAGCGCCACAAAACGCCACTTTACAACACGTTTAGCTGATAAAATGCCATATAAACGGCATTTCAGAACGCAGTAAAATATGCCTTAAGCACCGCCAGAACACCGTTTTTGTAGCTGTTTGGAGATCGCCTTCTGAACACAGTAAAAAAAAAAAAGATGTTTTCTCTGGTCGGTGAACGCCTCTTAGAACGCCATTCTGTTGCAATAAAAAYGCTGTTTTTTTATGCTGCTTTTTCCACATCTAAAATGCCGTTTTAGATGACGTTTTATTCAGCATTTTTTATGGCATTTTATCAGCTAAACGTGTTGTAAAGTGGCGTTTTGTGGCGCTTTAGGCTTTCCATACACGCCAGAATGCTGTTTTTTTTTTTTTGCCCTTTGGAGATGCCTTCTGAACACAGTAAAAACGTTTTCTCTGGTCAGTGAACGCCTCTTAGAACGCCGTTCTGTTGCAATAAAAACGCTGTTTTTTACACTGCTTTTTCCACATCTAAAATGCCRTTTTAGATGGCGTTTTATTAAGCCCTGCMCATACTTTTCTCATCCACTTAGATTAAACTTCTTTCATCCAATAAGATGACTAGAAATGCAGACCACATTAATTCAGCACAGATGACTGAGCTGCAAAGAAATAGATTTTTTTTTTCCTTTGGCTTGATKTCATTTTTGGCTTCTCATCCAGTTTTTAATTTTGATGATTTTAAAGTCCAGTAAAGCAAACAAAATACACAATACTTTATGGTCTATAAATGTAGGTGTCTATAGGAGAGAAGTTTAATAATATGTCATTGTGTTAGATTATCTTTGGTCAGACTAAAACTGGTCTTCACTATTCATCTTCTTCAAGAAAATCTGCTACAGCAAACATATTTAACTAAATAGGTAGAAGTAGGGCCACAGTTCGGCCTGTATTATTACAGTCAACAACTAACAGGGCCGGAAAAGGAAATGATAAAAAAGGCACTGCCCACTGTGAAGAGAGCCTTGACAGCATTTCTAAAACCACATTGGTTTAAAAGTGCAGTGCAGAAGCTACACCTTCGTTACATAACTCAGATGATCAGAAGAACACAAACAACAACAAACAAGTATTTATATAAAACTAGTCAGAGCCGGCCACAATAAAGATAAAGCATGACTGTAAAATATTTGACAGCCTGTAGAATCTGCTTTATGTTTATCGTTGATTAACATGTATTTTTGTGAACAGTTCTCTCTGTCTGTGTTAGTACCAGTCCTGGATATACTGTTTCTTTTCAACATAATTCATAAACTGATTTTTCCCCTGAAACAAACACACGAAGCTGAACTGAAGCCTACTTCWCCAACAGCTCAGCCACATTTTAGCAGCCAGGAAACCGTAAACAGGAAATGATCATCACTGACATTATGACCTAGATTACTAAAAGGTAACACAAACTTGTGTTAAAATTATTTAGTTTGAACTAAATAAAACAAATAAACAAACTCTTAATATTAAATTCCCAAGTAATTGTGTTGTAACATTTTAAGGTCTGAGCTCTGAGGATTTAGTAAATATCTTTAATGGTCAGCATTACACACATTTGCCACCAGGTGACGCTACAGAGCTGAGTCCTCTGAAACATGCAGAGTGAACAAATATCCTACTGGTTAGTTTAATTAACTCATGCTTTGTGTGAAACTCAGCCACCATGTTAACAGCATGAAACGGTCTGCTTCCTCACAACGTTTCACAGAGGAGTTTACCATCTCATCTGCTTTCCTCCTGAAGAACACAAGATGTGGAACCTTCAACCGTTCCTGATCGTCCTGTGTTGTAAGTTATTTTCTTCTCAGATCTTCTGAGCTTCCAATTCCAGCTTCCGATTCGGGAAATGACTAAAGGGCGATTACAACTAATTTTTCACTACCTTCAGCAT